CGACAGATACCTACGCAGTGGAGCATTAATCAATGCCCCACTACATAAACACCAACATGCCTACAGTTCAGGTAAATCTACTGAATCGCCACTTCTGTGGAACCTCGTAGTAGACGACCTGCTGACCAAGCTAAACTCGAACCACCACTACACCATAGGGTATGCAGATGACATGCAAAGTGCTTTGAAACTGGTTGAATGCTGGTGCAGGAAATACGACCTCACAGTTAATCCAACTAAAACAGAGCTGGTAATGTTTACAACCAAACGTGACGTAGGTGCTTTCAACTTGCCGAAGCTGTTTGGTGGAACACTACAACTGTCGAAGGAGGTAAAGTATCTAGGCCTTATACTTGACAGCAAACTAAACTGGAGTAACCATGTGGAACACAAAATCAAGACAGCCAGCGTAACACTTTGGCAATGCCGTCAAATATTAGGGAAGCGTTGGGGCCTTGCACCAAAACTGTTCCTATGGTTATATTACACAGTCATACGACCAATGGTAAGTTATGGCGCCATCATATGGTGGCCGAGATCTATCCAGACTACCTGTGTCAACAAACTACAAAGCTTTCAGCGGCAGCTTATGCAGCGCGGTGACCGGGTGCATGAGTACGGCGCCAACCGCAGCACTGGAAGTTATTTTAATCATCACACCGCTCCATATCTACATAAGACAGGAAGCGGCTAAAACAGCGTTGTGACTACAAAAGTTTGAACTGGTGAGGTTCGAAAGAGCAAGGCATCTCAACGGTATACCGAAGGAATGGGTAAACACTCCGCTCATAGATGCGGCATGTGACAAAATAATACCAGCGGTCATATTTGACAAAAAGTACAGAATACATCTACTGGATGACAACGATCCAAAGGTAACACACAAGGCTCTCATGATCTACACCGACGGCTCTAAAACCTCATCGGGCACGGGTGCGGGTGTTTTCTCTGAGGACCTTAATATACACATCGCTTTCCCCTTAAGCCCGTACAACACAGTTTTCCAAGCTGAGTGTATGGGCATCACACTGGCGGCAAGAGCGATCCTCTCAAGGAAGGTAACAGGACAGGAAATACGAATACTGTCTGACAGCAAATCAGTCCTACAAGCTCTAGATGCCTGTTTAGTCAGATCGAACTTACTACAAGAATGCCACCAAACCTTAAACACGGTAGGGACGAGCAACTCTATTACCATCCAATGGATCAAGGGACACAGTGGATGACGCGGAAACGACGCTGCGGATGAGCTGGCCCGGAAGGGATCCGATACGACCCCAACAGGCCCCGAACCAATCGTCCCGATACCGGTAAGCTGTCTCGTCAATAAAATTCGCGAGCACACTGCCGCACTACACCAGCAACACTGGCTCGAACTGGAGACGTGCAGACAGACAAAGCTCGCTTTGCCACGGGTGAACGCTGCCTTCTCCAAAACTCTCCTACGGCTAAGCAAACCTACATTGCGCATGGTAACAGGTACTATTACTGGACATGCACATTTTAACAGACATCTTTTCAACATAGGTGTCACGGACAGCCCCCTATGCAGAGGATGCATAGGGGGCTGTCCGGCTGATGGAGGCAGAAGAAACAGCTACTCACGTTCTGCTGGAATGCAACGGAGTGGCCGAATACCGAGCGAAATACCTCGGCTCACCGGGAAACCTTCAAGAGGCAGTCACCAGCGTGGGGGCCTTCCTGGCTGGAGTGATTCCGGCCATACACCCTCCTCACGAAAAACAGGCGCCATAAGGACGTCGAGTTGCGGAAACGCCCGTAGCAACAAGAGAAGAAGAAGAAGGTTGAGAAAGAACACAACCGATTTTTAATAGTATTTCTTTATTAAGACTGTGTGAAAAAAATATTAATCAGAATCTAGCTCTCCAATTTCGCTCATCTCTGCATTACCGCCGGAGAAGTTATGAATAATCATGCAGGTCTCATACGAACATGCATCCTATATGTAAACGAAAGTTTTAAATCGAGTTTTTGAACGCACCATAAGGCGTTGAGCAGACGACGGGGCGGGGCGGGCATTTTGTCCGCGAAGCAATAAAGACCGCGTCTGCCCGTCGATGTCTGCGGCTGCCCGCGCCACGTACACAAAGCACACGACGGGCAGAGGCGGTCAGTTTAGGACGTTCGTTCTAGTGTTAGTTCGTGTAGTGCGTTACTGCATATAAACTGGTTTGTATGATCCACGGCGGGCAGCCGCGGACATGCCGCGCCGCCAGTGCCCGCCGGGCACCCAAGGCGCGGTCTTTTTGACCGCTGTGTGCGTTTGAAGTATAGGATTCACTTTGTGCTATTATTCGCGGCGAAATTGACCGGCCCGCCCCGCCACGTCGTCTGCAAAGCGCCTAAAGTGACATTTGGTTGACGATTTACGTTATCAACCATTCGTAGCAAAAGCTCAATAAATGTAAAAAAAACGACTAATATTAATTAGTTATCAACATTTGTTATTGTTTGTTTAAAAATGTTTGGTTTTTATTCTAGAATCAGCTGAGTGCTAAAAAAGTGTTCCGAGATTGTTTTGCAAACCATACTTTACAAGCGACATTTGACAGATGGAGGTCATTAGCTTTCCTATTCTTATTTGAATCGCATTATACAGACAAAATTAAGACAATGATTTAAATTAATAACTAAACAAAATAGTAAATATCACTAAAGAAAAGTTTTAATAGAAAAAAAATCCACGCGGACCAGGCAGCAGACGGGACTCGAACCCGCACCCTTCGCAAACCCGGCGAATGCACTGACCAATTATGCTACCGCGGCCCTGATGGCCGCGTCGAAATTTTCCTTTCCTTAAGCTGCAAGGCAGCGCCATCACTTCGCATTGTAGGTAACCCACAATGTCAAATGAATACTTTTTCAAGTATTAAACATATGAAAGAAGAAATAGCATTTATAGTACTGTTTTTTTTAAAAACATTTAACTGCTAGATGTTTAAATCTAAAGAAAAGTTTTAATAGAAAAGCATCCACGCGGACCAGGCAGCAGATGGGGCTCGAACCCGCACCCTTCGCAATCCGGTGAATGCACTGACCAATTTAGCTACCGCGGCGCTGATGGTCGCGTTGAAATTTTCCTATCCTTAGTTTAATTAATTTGAGGCGCTGCCTTGCCGCTAAAGGTTTTTTTTAATACTTATTATAAACTGATTATATATAAAATATTTGTGATATTCAAATACATGGTTGTTTATATAACTGTCTCTTTTCCTCGCGGTCCGTACCTGTATTATTGCTAACAGTGCATTCAGAATTGCGCGTAGAGTTAAAGAAATAAGGTCTATATTCTTTCGCATATAGCAATAAGTCGTAAAAATAACGAGCTTGCATATCGAACTGTCATAATTATTTGACTCATGCATTTCAATTAAGACCTTATGCAGTATGCATTAAAGGTGACTTTCAATGTTTTAATAATGCCTTTTATTGTCTTTGACTACGCAATCATTTAACATAACCGTGGATCATCCAATGTACCTTTTGTACAGGTTTCGGGCACGATTTTGTTCGTGTTGGTGTATCTAGGGTATTTAATATCGTTGGGTTTTATGACACCTCCATTGGTACCTATATGCTCTTAGGCCGTATACAGAAAGAAAGCCGAAAGCCGATCGGCGCCGATTATTCCTACTTATAAGAAGCCGATTAAAGCAGATCAAGCAAAATGTCGGACTCATCGGACGATGATTTGGTCTTGTTAGAAAATGTTTATTTAAAAATGCGAAAAACAGCTATACATCCTATAAATAGAGAAAGGAAACGTTTCGGAGAATACCATCATTTATTTGTAAAAAAAATTAAATTTGATGAACAAAGATTTTATACATATACAAGAATGATTCAAGAAACATTTGATTACATTTTGGATTTAGTGAAAAGCCGTTTGATGAAAAATTGGTACAATTGGCATAAACAACCAATCCTTCCAGAAGAAAGTTGTTCGCCAAAATGTTGTTCGCTTATACAATAAAGTCCCAAGCAATATCCAAGAGTTAGCCATAAATAAATTTAAAGATATTATAAAAAACACTTATTAAAAAAGCTTATTACAAAGTGTCTGATTATATTACCGACAAAAATGCTTGGGTTTGAACTGTTCCAATCATTCCAACAGGTTTTCTATATTAAATAAATCATAATTGTATTGACGTTGTAACAACATAATGATTTGTAAATGTTGTTAAATTAGACTTTTAATGTTGTGGAGTGTTTTTCGCTCGTTTTTCTCCGCAGCTAAAAAATATGTCCATAACGAGTGGTAGGGAAAAAAAATTTTTGGACGATTCAAAAGAGTTGTACTATACATCCAATTTGAATAAAGATATATTGATTTCTGATATCTGATTTCTGAAAGACTTGTTGTCACCATTCGGTAAGTACGAAACAAATAATTTTAGCGCTTAGTTAATAAAAGATAAAGTTATTAGATTTATAAAAAGATTATATCTTAGATTGATTTAATCTAAGGATAATAATTCAAATACAAATTATTTATTATTCGGACCAGCGCGTGTCGGCGCTTATCGGCGCCTATCAGCGCCGATCGGCGCCGGTCCATAGAAAAAGGATCAGCGCCAATAGGCGCCGATAAGCGCCGATCGGCGCTGATCGGCGCCGATCGGCTTTCGGCTTTCTTTCTGTATACGGCCTTAGCCATTGGTATATGCCGTTATTTGCAGTCTGCATGAGCACCGCGATATTGTCAAAGATTATTCAGGTATTTCACATTTGTTTATTTAATGTTTCATAAGATATCTATTATTTGCCTTATAAATTAAAGATACCTACCTACCTATTATGAACAATGTATAAAACATACAATGTCGCTATTTTAGACCCCCTAAATAAATCAGGGCAAGCCAAAAGATTTTTCATAAGTATTTAAATAAGTTTATTTTAATATCATTTGAAATAATGGCATGATTCTTAAATAGTAAATTAACATCGCAATATAAATGGTATGTATACAAACAGTTCCACTTAACTATTTATTATAACGAAATAAAGGAAAAACATGATTTTTAAACTCTGTTAATGAATATAGTAAAATTACTGATAGTTTTTTTTATTATCTTGAGCTGCTCCGGTTTCAGCTGAATTCCTTAAATATATTTTCTTTCGTTTCATAATATCTATTTAAACGTATTTCGGCATATCTGAAATCATACATTAAGATTTTAATTGATGCTTTAAATAATTGTAGGTATTATTTTTGGGTCTTGCGTCGTTTCGACTCACGAGCGGATTGATTCACGGGTCGAAATCGTTCACATACTCTTTTTCACAGGGTCGTCTCGCACCTCAAGCTTAGAGTGGGGCGAAATGCCCAATACATTGTTGTTGGTGCACAAATCGCATTCGAATTTAAAACAAAAGGTTTATAATTTTGATATGTACAGATGATTCTAAAAGTGGCTAGATGAAACAAAATAATCGCGACGTGATAAGCATTAGCATAGCTAGGGATTTTTCCTAAGGAGGAGCAGTCGTCCAGTTCGTGGAGAAAGAAGAACGGTCACGCCCCGTAAAAAAATCCCAGACACCCAACAAAAACGAGACATATCTCAGTTGTTTTGTTATTTTTCAAATACTGACGTTATATTTTTATTATATTCGAAATCAATGACTAACACCAAAATATAGCCTTATGATTTTGTTCAGGTTTTACACAAAAAAAATACAAAATGGCTATTTGTCTACAAAATTCGTCAATGTATGTAACTAAATGACGATACAGTATTTAATATTATCTAGGTGACCTGGAGATGCAGCTGCATTTTTCAACACTCGAATTCTAGGGTGGGCAAACAGATTTCTATGTTGGGCAATGCCCATTCTACTTCGTGCTGATAAGTAATGATTATATTTAAAAAAAAATACGCATACAAATTTAGTAGCAGTTTCAACATAACAAATTTTGACTTAAAATGACAATAGGCTAGTTGACACATGTCAAATTGTATTAAATAAATGTTTATTTCTTAAAGTATTTGGTCTAAGGAACCTAAATATATCAGTTTCACTTCATAAAAGCAGAAGATTGCTGTACAAATTTAATTTAAAAAAATATTTTTTAGTCTATATTTTTAAACACTAAAAACGCTGTTCGCCACATCCGCCATGATTGTGACGTCTCTTGTAGTAAACAACTAAATGTCATTCGCATGTTACTGTGGGTTGATTCTTTCGTTTGACTAAATTTATCTTAAAACACAACTTTAGAAAAGTTTCCGTTTACTGTTTTTTTTTTGACAAAACTAATTATGGATGCCGGCTTTGTGAAAGCAGAAAGCACAAATCTGCCAAGAATTGACGCATTGATGGTTGGTGAATTTTTTGCACTAAACCCCGATTTCTACTCTGCGGAGCAGAGAAACGACAAGGCATCTATATAAGTACAGTGCATTTAGTATTACAATGTAGAAATAAACATAAAACTGATACAACATATGAATAAGTGTAATAAAGTTGCGTAGGTTAATTTCTTTCGGCATTTTAATCCACAACTTTCCTGGAGTCTTCAAGGATGTGTTTTTATATTCTCGTACAATACAATAATGATAATTACTTTATTTTTCGGGATATCTATTAGAAATCATGATTTTTTTTATTATAAACTCAGATAATTTATTGTCTATGTGCTTACGAGTTTTTGTTTACTACAGTTGACGCCATAGCATAGATAATCTATAGACTAAAATGGCCGACAGCGTTTTTGTATGTCCATGAAAAGTCTATTTTAAAATTAAAGATTTGTAGCTTTCTAGGTCTCAAAAAATACAATACATTTTTTTCGGTCTAGTAGAACATTTATTAACCATTTAAAACCTTTTTCCAAAAAGGGTCAACTAGCCTATTGAAAATCAGAGACAGATATTTTTACACAAAAAAAAGGTATTTTTTTTTTAAATAAATTTTGTTCAACTGGAAGGCCGGCCACCTAGGAAAAGACCATATCTACGCCAATGGTTTCCAAGTCGCCACTATTTATTTTTACACAAAAACCTTTTTTAGATTCATTTGTATACATCAAATTTGAAACCCTTTGTTTTGAATTCGAGAGCAAATTTATTTTGCGGCACTGTCCGAATGTAATGAGTATTGAGCGATGGCGACAAACGATGCATTGGGCGTTTAGCTGCACTTTAGGCGTGCGATGCGAAACGATCCAGTCAAGAAAGAGTATGTGGGCGATTCGAATCGCGTGTCGGAACGACGCAAAACCTTTCCTTTTAATAACCACTGAAGTTTACCTTCCAAAATCAAAATCAATATCAGATAATTCGAATTGCACTAGAGACCAAATGCCCCACATAAAGTGTGATGCAAGTGATAGCTGCTGAACTTCTCTGTATATTTTATTTACATAATCAGCAGGTGGTGAATTGGTTTGTAAATACTCAGATACATAGACGTTTAACCATTTCTTTTGAAACTCTTCGCTTGGATATCGTTTATAGTCTATGTCCTCGATGGTAAGACCTGAAACCAATAATTAATACATGTTATTTGTTTTACCTACCAGTTATATTGCATAAGTACCTCATAATCGGCATCCTCTTTCATCATACGAACTGCTAGGGAATAGAATTCTCTTCCTGCGTTGTTATTCCACGATATATATAATATTACAGGGATCTTATAGGGAGGAAAGCAAAAATCATCATCATTATCATTTAGGCCTTCCCTATGGATGAGATACCTATTCCATAAAAACCCTAGGCATTGCCCAATCTCCTTAGATTGGACCATGACTTGACCCACCACGCAGGTCCAGTGCAGATTGTTGGACTGTCAGGGGGTGACCACACATACCGCGGAACGTTGAACTAACCCGTGACAACCTGACGTGACGTCACACTTTATAATGCGTGCATCCGATGTTCATCGATCTGTAATAAGTTCTTTTTTTTAATTTGTCAAAAAAACTATGTCTATTTTAACAAAGAGTGTAGTTAACTTATCGACGATTATGGACTTTCGCAAATAATGCAGTAGAGGTGAGATGCAAGTCCCACGCTGCCGAATTGATATAAAATTTGATTTTCCGTATGAGCCGTATGTGGATAGAACTCTGGGAGTTAAAAATCATAATAATGAAAACGAAAACTATTAATATTATAGCTCTAAAGGTATAAGAGATTTATTTATCTAAACGCTCTGGATGTATGTAATAAAAACAACAAACGTAATCTTTGAATGTTGGAAATGGGTTATCTTGTTTTATATAACAAGTCGGTACCTATCCGGATTAAAATATCAATTTTGATGCTACAACGAAATACATACTTAAACAAAAATATTTATACATAAAAGAAATAACATTACTCACCAACAAATTCATTGAAATGATTTGCAATATCAAATCCTTGATAATTATAACTGGCATATTCATAGTCAATGAAAGCTATGGTTTCTTCAACTTGGTTGTAGATGACGTTTCCTAGAAGCAAATCATTGTGAGCAAACACTAGGGGGCTCTCAGTATTTATTAAGTGTGACTTAAGCCGCTCAAACTCAATTCTTAATCTTGTTACTGACCCAAAGCTATCGATAAATCTACAAAAGAAATAAGGTTTATCAATATTATGTATAATTTAATAAAGAATCCTGGAAAGTTTGACTAAATAGTTCGAAAAATAGGGTATCTATCGCGATATGTAAGTCTAGGCCTAGAATAAATACTTTGTGTTATATTCGTTATGTTACAGTCCAATTAAAAAAACATCACATATTAAACAGATAATATATTTTTAAGCAATTACAAATGTTTAGGTATTCTGAGTATTCTGTAAAAAACGAATTTATGCAAAGTACTTTGCTACAGACCTGGTCCTTTTTTTAACATCGGTAAATGGCTCCGGAAGCAAACACAAAAATTGCTCTATCTTGTCCCAAACCATAGGTTCTTCTTTTACCTGTAAACACAAGTTTTCTTGTTGATAAACGGGTAAAGCTTACAAAATTAGGTTCATAACTATTCAACAACTTATACCCACATATAGATTACATCTGCAATTATGCATCTTAATTAGGATATCAGCAGGTACCTATATCAAGCAGCGCTCTTTTTATATATAAAAAGAGCGCTGCTTTAATCTATATTTACATCATATAGATCCAATTCTCAAAAAGAATAAAAAATTAAAAAAAGGTAAATTTAAAAAATCAAAAAACCCGACTGCTTAATTATTCTTCAAATAAAAACTGAAAAGAAAAAAACAAGTCCAGTAGTCTATAATTCTGTTAATAAGGAACAAAGCTACTTTAACAGTCGGGACCCATTAGATATTCAAGAATACAATATATTTTTCAACAGTGGGTCCCGACTGTTAAAGTAGCTTTGTTCCTTATTAACAGAATTATAGACTACTGGACTTGTTTTTTTCTTTTCAGATTTTATTTGAAGAATAATTAAGCAGTCGGGTTTTTTGATTTTTTAAATTTACCTTTTTTATTTCACACTTTTTAGTTAGTATTTTAAGACGATATATACCGTAGTCTTGTTACTTCAGTAAGGGAATTAATATCGCGGGAATTATTAAGTACCTTGCGTCGGTCTAAAAGATTGATTTATTAAGACATATAAAGACTTTACCCGCGGGGTCAAGGCTACAGATGGGCCTCAATTTTCGCAAAAATGTGTGAAGTTAAATCAAGTCGTTACATAAATATCTGTAATGTATATAAATTTTATAGTAAACTAGCACTTACTCAAAAAGTCATCTTTTGTTTATGTTTTTTTTAATAGTTTAGCAGTAAATATAAAATTCATTTACTTTTATTCGTCGACTATTTAAAATTGGCAGTAGCTACATTGTCATGTCAATGCCGGACGTCTTAAGATTGTGATATATACAAATTCAGTGTCAGTCCATAGTCTCATAATTTGATATACCTACATAATTCACAGAAACCCAATATGTAGATGCCAGAAGTTAACTTCAAATGTTTTTAATTACCCTATATACAAAACCAATCAAGGACGTTTATGTCGCAGGTTGAAGAAAGAAGTAATTCCCATCTGTTGTTTTGGACAATGGTGGCAACTGCCTTAGATCACTAAATTAAATAATTATGCAATCACCAAAGCAAAGTTTATAATATTTGATTAAACTAAAGGCGCATAATAAAATTTTCATAACGTTAGGTAGAGCACCATAGCAATCTCATTTATTATCAATTTATAGTTCTTTTTGAGTTTTCTTTTAAAGCGTTCACATTTAACAGGTCAAAGACTTTGTGTTCGACCCTTTTCTATTGGTAATGTAAAGCTCGAATGAAGAGTACTCCCAGTAGTGCAGTCATGGCAATTATTTTCCAAATTTTTTTTGTTATAAAAATACCGAATAGCGTATCACTGTTAAGCACAAATGCTAAGTAACTTTTACAAATACAATCAAATAAACCTATTACTTACTTCATTTTTAAATCCTTTTCATCAATTAAATACTTATCTTATCCTAACTATCTATACTAATATTATAAAGAGGCAAGATTTGTATGTTTGTAACAAATAATCTGTCAAACTACTGAACCGGTTTCAAATATTAATTCATCATAAGGTAGCTACGTTATTTATTATAACATTTTTCTTTATTTAAATACATTTTGTCCGAGTGACATAGGCTATATTTTATCCCGATAAATAAATTTCGCCCGTACAATGCCCGAGTGGATCACTAGTGAGTATAATATAATATTATAGATGCGAAAATGAGTTTGTTTGTTGCGCTTCCGTGCCCTAATAGCTAAATCGAATTTAATGAATTCCCATATAGAAGTAGATGGGAACTTGGTTCTTAGCTACAACATCGCAATACTTATAGGCGTAGGGTGATGAAAGGGGTGATTTACCTATAAAAATCTACATTATTTACTTTAAATTTTGCAGAATTATTACAAAACCAATATTATCGCGAGCTGATTAATAAATACAGGGATTCCAATAAGTATGTACTTACTAGCGAAAAATGGGTTATTTGTCACTATATTAAGTAAACCTTTTTTGTAACATTAAGTAATATCGTTAAAAAAAATGAAAAACAGTAAAATTCTGAGTTTTTCATTAAAATTCAATAATCATAAATACCTATTATGATAATATATTTTTCATCATTTAATAAGAAGGAACTGTATCACAGTTTTAATGTTAGTACTTCGTATAGGATCACATACTGCGAATACCCCATTTTTTTTCTTTTACATAGTACACCGCGCTATCACTTTGTCATCGTTGTAACTTTTTAAATATTTGTCGAAATGACATAGTGTAAAAAAGCAAAGTTTATCGTCTTTAAATATCAAAAGCGATTAAAGTGTTTGTTTTGATAAAAAATGATTTGTTAATACAAAATGTGCATTTTGGAAATAGATATCAAATAATATTTTAGTTTTGATTCACTATTTTAGCGGTAATGACTTACACATTAAAAATAGATATATGGTGTCACGGACTTTTTTTAGAACTATTTAAGAGATACATTTTCACTCTACATTACATTCATGTAACTTTTATTGTTTTTGCAGTGCAGGCCAAAATGGCTCGCAGATGGGACATTTTTTTTCCGTCTTATGTGACACTTATTGCTATATGTATATTGGCCAATTCACTCAATAACTATATAAATTATTATATATATGTAATTATCATATATGAGTTATATTACTGTTAAGTTTCATTAAAATCCATTCAGTATTTTTTAGGTGAAAGAGTAACAAAAATCCATTCAAACGTAAGATTGAAATTAAAAGCGGAAGTGGTTAATATACAACTTTAAAGCGTTGTAGATCCTAAACAATCATATAAAATGAAAAATGGTGTTAGGAACCTAAATATGATTTTTGATTATCTAGACAGTGATACCCCACTCGACATATTTTGTCAACTTATTTTTTTTACTTCGTCACAATATGGCGCCTAATTTTGACCATATTGAATTTTGATTACTATCATATCTTTAGTAGCACTCCCATGATTGAGACGAATCGATTGATGTATGAATCATCAAAATCGGTCCAGGCGTTTGGTCTCTAGTGTGCCACAAAGGAACAAACATACATATATAGACTGTTAAACACATAACCCTGTCTGCGCGTCGCGCTTCGCGCTCTTGCATTGCGCAGCCGGGTAAAAAGATATGTATATTAGTGTGGCAAAGATAACAAATTTGGAGGAATCAAAAAGTTGTACTATGCATCCAATTTGAATAAAGATATTTTGACTTTGACTTTAGGCCATGCGCACCGTTAAGCGGGGCACGGAGCGGGCGTCCGTCGCGGAAATCCCATCCGTCAGCAAGATTGTCTTTATTGGGTACAGCCTGTACCCTGTACGTTAGCCAACTTCCAGGCTGTCAATACAGTAGCCCTAGCACGAACCATTATCGAATTCGAATAGTTTGCAAACCGAAATGTGAATGTCAAATTTTGTATGGAAACTTGAATAGCAGCGGCACAAAGTACGTAACGAGAACTAAAAATCAGTACACATTTGACAATGACATTCGGACTCGCAAACGATACGAATTCAATATTGGTTTGTGCTAGGGGTACAGTTCCAGTCTGGAAAGACAAGCGAAACAGGCGTGCCCTATGATATTTTAAAGTTATAGATACGTCATACACGTTTCTAGTTTGGCAATACAAAAGGCAGGTAATTGCCCGATTTGCATTCAGTCGGGTAAGCACTTTCGCCACGGCTACACTTCGCAACAACGTGTAAATATTCTACATTATTTCAGACAAAAAGTCCTAAATGTGTTTTTAGATAGTGCACAAAATACACAGCAACTTTTAGAGACAAGAAAAACGTGTCATTTCATTCGTAAGTACAGTTTTAAAGACGATAATGTAAAAAAAAATAGTGATTACTTATTTTGACAGTTGCTGACACTGTTGACACGTGAAGGCGAGCGAGATGTAATTGCTGTATGAATGAGAGTGAAAGAGACTTCTTTAGCGCGCTCTATTGGCGGCTGTTGTCAAGAGAAGTTGGGCCCATTTTAAAATGCAATAATGTTGGTGTATGACCTGTCTATATAATATACGTTATTGGGCGTGCCAGAATAGGAGACAATTCGGCTGCAAAGTTCCTTAATACAATGGCAGGAATACCATCGGGACCACAGGCGTTATTCATATCTAGAATGCGCAATATTTTAGCCACCTCCTTCTGATGAATGCGTATTTCAGACATTTTTCATTTGCAAGTAAAATAGTAAAGATTAAAATTAAACTAACTATTTATGATTTAGATGTTCAATATTTAAAAGGCACAAAAATTTGCGGCAAATATATCGCACGTCACAAATAAAAGGGTATTATTATCTTCAAAAACAGTGTTTTGAGATATCGCGTTTTGAAGTTTTAAAAAATCATAGAAGCGGAACTACTTCTTTAAAAGATTTAAACGTACATTATTCTTCTTTGTGTTGAGTTAGTTTAGTTAGTGTATCAATAGTAGTTTTTATTTTAAAAGTACTTTTATGTGACTGGGTAGAGAGAATACTCTATAAGCAGTTCAAATGGCTCAAATGGCTCATGTTAAAATTTCAACTAGTATCATTTTAAAATAATTTCGCTGAATATAACATATTAAACAGGCCAGAGGGTATTATTTTAAATAAAACTTTTAATTTGTATTAATCCGAACGGGCAATAGGGCAACAGTATTAACTTAATACTGTTTAGAATACTCATCATAGATTTTGCCTAGAAATTGACGACATGTGTTGCTATAATTCAAAAACTATTTCGAATTAAAATACAATTATCTTATAAAAAATAAATGGTTTTGCCGACATAATACCCTATTGTTTGTGACGTGCGATATAGAAGCAAGCAATTTCGCCTTTTCAATCGCGGTATGCGCCAGTGTACCATCAGGTTTCTGCAGAGAAGGAAGAAGAAGAAGCTG